CATGCAGCTGAATGTCACAGTACTGAAAAAGACAGTCTGCACACATCAGTCAAGTCGGGCCCCAAAATGCTGACACTTTTTCCCGAGGGGAGAGAAACTGGCATTTTATTTTAATTTTTTATTTTTACTCAAAGAATTCTATCAGCAGGTGTTTGGCAAACCAGCCTGGTTCCCTGCATCACCTCGCTGTCAGGGACAAGAAATGGTGGTCACTGGAAAAGCGTCTCCTTAAATTAGTAATCAGCAGAGCCTAAGAAAGATGGGAGTTGGGGCCATGGGGTTGTAATTGCTCAGCACCTTTTTGACCACTTCAAATGCCACAGACTCCCAGGAAAAACTGGCCTTCTCCCGGAGTCTCTCTTGACTTCTTGATACCTCATTTGGGAACCCTGTCTTTAACTGTGCTTTGGCACAGTCTAATGATGTGTGCTGGAGAGGATGAAGCCTTCTTGGGTTTTCCCCTTACTCAAGACTTGAAATTGTTCTTGTCTGCTGAGCCAAAGGGAAGGCAAGAAGGTTTATCCCTGGGCTGGAAAGATGGTTGAGCAGTTAAGCATACTGGCTGCTCTTCCAGAGGTCCCAAGTTCAATTCCCAGCAACCACATGGTGGCTCACAACCATCTTTAATGGGATCTAATGCCCTCTTCTGGCATGCAGGTAAGCATGTAAACAGAACACTGTATACACAATAAATATGTAAATCTTTTAAAAAGGATTTTCCCAGGAAAAGAGAATGACTTCATGGACCCATAAGATAAGTTGTTCTGCCATTAAATGACACATCTAATCATCCAGGATAAATGCCACCATCCCCCGACCTCTGAGTTAGAAAGGAAGGTGTCCTACAGGGAAGGCTGGGGGTGGGGAAGCCCTTTCCTGTCTCTGTCTTTTCCCCTGAAAGGGGTAACAAGGATGCCTGGAGTTCAACTTCCTAAACTGAAGTTTTGCAAAACCAGAAAGCATTGGCACAGCAGTAAGGCTCCTTCCCAAGATATAAAGAAGGACTTGTGTGGGGGCTTGAGCCTCCTCTGGTTTAGTGTTACGGGGCTGCACAGGAAGCTGCACTGACCCCTTTTCCTGAAGACTCGGGCATTCAGGTCACCAGGCATCTGTTCTCTGAAGGCTCATTAGAAGGTTTGGGTGTGCACACATCTTGTCATGTGGGGGCATGGGACTTTAGGTAAGAAAACTATGTAGTTTGAGGGCACAACTCTTTCCCTGTGTGAAAGAGCCAGGCTGTGGGTGTGACTGGAAACAAGAATAGGACACAGACACAAAGTAGCCCACAGAGACAGACAAATAGGCACAGTGATGGGGGGCATGCTTCTGTATATATGTTTCTCTTATTGGTTGATGAATAAAACACTGATTAGTCAGTAGCCAGGCAGGAAGCGTAGGTGGGGCCAGGAGACCTGGAGAAGACTGGGGAGAGGAGGATAGAGGGAGGCCTCGAAGAAATGCCATGCTGCCCAAGGAGTAACATGCTGGATTATGGGTAAGCCACAGCCTCCTGGCAATGCATAGATTAATAGAAATGGGTTAGTAATTAAGACAGAGCTAGTCAATTAGAAGCCTGAGCCTTCAGCCAAACATTTTATATTTAATATAAGTCTTTGTGTGTTTATTTGGGGCAAAGCAGCTGTGGGATCAGGAGGGATAGAAACCGCTTTCTTCAGCACAGTTATTCCAATTTGACTGCTAATGTTTTAAATTTCTTTCTATTTTACATGTTTGATTGTTTGCTTGCATGTGTGTATGTGCACCACATGAGTGCAATGCTGAAGGAGGCCAGAGAGGGAGCTTGGGTCCCTAGAACTGGAGTTGCAGGTGACCGTGATCTGCCCTATGGTGCTGGGAACCTCTTCAACAGTGGCCAGCGCTATTAAACACTGAGCCAACTCTTCGGCCCCAGATGTTAAATTTTTAATGAATTTTTTATTAAAATGCTGACATTTCCCATGAAAACACAGACAACATACAATACCAAATGTATTTCAGTAGAGCTGGAACTCACAGAAAGACAATAAAATATATCAGTTGAGATGAAGAACTCCTTTGATGGCTGAACAGTAGATGTGACCATCAGATAAGAAAAGAACCTGTGACATTGGCAGACACCCAATGAATGCCACACCAGCCGGAGTCAGCTGAACTGGAGTATAAAGAGCAAAAACCAACCAGGGAAAAACACTCCAGAATCGTGTAACAGCATCAAATGAAACATAAATGGAACGGAGTAGAAGACATGTTTGAAGGCACAGTGGCCGGGAACTTTCCAAAGTTAATGATCTCAATCATTGGTTTAGGAAGCTCAGAGAATAGCATGAAGGATACATACGAAGCCTGGCCAAAGAGAGGAAACATTTTATAGCATATTCAAATTATTGAAAACAAAAGATGGAAATTTAGAAGGGCAACAAGAGAAAAATAGCAGCATGGAGGAACCAAGAATTCCAGAACATTCTGTTTTGGACATACAGCAACAATAGAACACTCAGTGGCTGAAAGAATAAAACCTGTTGGAAAAGAATTCTGTAGGTGGGGAAGTTACCTTCATGAACAAAGGAGAAATGGCATTTTTAGACAAACACAAAGTGAGAGAGGAAAGTTTGAAGCCTTTGGTGATGGGGACCTCAATAACTAACCTTAAGCCCACTCCATCTTCTGACTTAGTTAATACCACCACAGGAAGGTTCTACCAGGAGGAAAAGCTATGGGAATGGTAGGTACAGAATCTCCTAAAAGAGGAACATGATGCCAAATGTATTCAGATCTACAATCAGAAAGGAAGAGGGCTAGAAGGATAAATTTAAGTACCATAAATACCTAACTTTGCTTAAATCATCTGTCTTAAATTCACAGAAACATGTATTTACACTCCATGTAAAAATAAAATAAATATAACATTAGCAAAAGGCCAAGGATTGGGGAATTGGGTACATACAGGTAAAGGACCTGTAGAAGATACTTTGGGACAAAGTTTTGGTGTAAAATCTGTTTAATTCAAGACTTACACTGGAAAAACTGGGACAACCAATAACCTGATAAGCAACAATAAAATGATAGTAAAAGTGAAGATGATATAATAATAAATGAACATAGGTCAACCTAAAGAAATGTACAGAAAGGGGAAAAAGGGAAGCATTAAAATCAAAATATAAACTGGACATGGTTGGCACATGCCTTTAATCCCAGCATGACAGAGGCAGAGGCAGATGGGTCTGTGAATTCAAGGCCAGCCTGATCTACATACAGGTTGTCCTTGAACAAGTAAGGATTTGGAGTATTGCCCCTAGAGAAATACAAGAGATGTTTTCTCTCTAAATGAGTGTAAATCAGAACATGGAGCTCATGGCACATAGAAATAAGGGGTGCAGGGAGCAGTGATAGTTCTGTGTAATGGACCAAATGGGTAAATGATTGACAATATATAAAATGCCCATTAATTTTAAGCAGAGAAATAAATCTCCAATAAAAACATTCTGAACTATCTCAGAATTTAAACCGGAGGGGGTGGGATTAGAGGCAAAAACCAAAATGGAAAAATAAAATGAATTTTTTTCCCTTAGTAAACAAGGAAAGAGGTTAAGTAGCTAAAGGTACTGGGACTATAGGGATTATATGATTTATATATACATTTGCAACAAAAAGTTGCATGCTCAAAAGGCAGAGAAAATTAGAAAAAAAATGAGGAGCAAAAATGGCAAACAGCAATAATGGTACAGAAAACCTAAGATCAAACAGATGATGTGTCACTGTCATCATGGGGCTGACACACAGCTGACCACATTAAAAGGCAAAATCCAGGCAAAAGCCTCTCTAGACAGGAGCTGAAAGCAAGCTACAAATGAGGGTTGGAGAGAGGGCTTAGTGGTTAGAGCACTGAATACTTTTGCAGAGGACCGAGGTTCCCAGGAAGCACCTGTAACTCCAGTCCCAGGAGATCCAGTGCCCTTTTCTGATCTCTGAGGCTACCAAGCATGCGCATGGTCATATTCATATATGCAGACAAATTTACAAAGGGGGAGGGAGGGGAAACAGACTCAAAGTTAAGGCAGGAGAGTGTGTGGCAGGGGCATGCACTGAGTAGATGCAAAGAAAAAAAGAAACAGATGAATGCAATGTTAGTAACAATTCAAATGCAATTCAATCTGAAAGCACGAAGAACCAAGTTTTTTAAAAAGGACGATATAATGGGAAAGTTAGTCAGCAGAGGATCTTTGCATAATCCTGCGGTCAAAAATAAAGCAGAGAGGGCTGGAGAGATGGCTCAGCAATTAAGAAGAGCACTGGCTGTTCTTGTAGAGGACCCTGATTCAATCCTCAGCGCCCACAAGGCAGCAGTTACCTGACTCTAGTTCCAGGAGACCAAACGCCCTCTTCTGGCCTTCCAGGGTACTGCATGCATCTGGAACACCTGCAGACAAAACACCCATACGCATAAAAACATTTTTTTTTAAACGCAAAGAAATAAATTCCCCAAAGTGCAAGGATTGGCAAGGCCATTTTTATTGCCTGATTTTTTTTCAGAACTTGACAGTTCAAGAATACAGTTGAGGCAACAATAAGGATTTCAGAACTACATAAATGAAATTTTCTCATATATTCTTGTAAGATGTAATCATATGCTGGATTAACAGCATACAGCGAATCTTTGAAGAATTCCCCAAGGTGGAGATTGGGTTTTTTTTTTTACAACATTCAAAGCAAAAATCAACAATGAAAACATCTTTAAAATACTTGCATTATGAGGGAGTTGAAACTTCTCTGGAGAGCAACTCAAAATTGAAACAAAAAACTATAAAATTAAAAAGAAGAAAACATGTGACATCAAAACCTATGAGACACAGCTAAAGCTATGTCCAGGGGGTAGTTTATAACTTTAATTGGTTTCATTTATAAACAGGACACAGCAAAACATACATAGTCATACCAACACAATATATATTTGGAGCAATTTCACCTATTTGTCCTTGTTTAGTAGAAAACACCCGTTACTCTCAGGGTCTCTTCGTGTGACTTCGTTTTCCTTTCTCATTTGTCCTCTCACTGACGTTGCAATGAGAATGGATGAAGCGATCAAGAATTTGTCTGTCTGTCAATGAAGAAAAGCAGAGGTCTCCAAGTTAAATAGAAAACAGCTAAAACCCCAGGAGGAAGCAAATAGCTGGTAGGAGTATGCTATTCACAAGTTTGATATGAAAGTATAGTGTGCAGGTGCTGGGTATGATGTAGAGAGCACGGTGCCCTAATTGCTCAGAGTGAGTCAGCCCGCTTGCCAGAAAGGGCAGGGGCTTTGGAAATAACAGACCCACAGTTCGGTTCTGAGCAGGCAAGGATTATTTAACCCAACTTTATCCTTTGTCTCTGAATGCAGATTACCATACTTACCACACACTGTGGGAAGGATTAAGCACACTATGTGTGATGTCATATATTAAATTAAGGCGTGATATTAATTAGCAGCCGTATCTGCCTTTATATGGTGCACAATAGTAAACACTGGTGAGGAAAATCAGCGTCTGCCTTGAACCCTTGGTAGAATTCAAGGATGTCTTCTTCCTGGCCAGTGTTGGTAGCCTTGCTGTCCTTGAGTCATAACTGTCTGCCTTTAGGAAGTCCTTCAAGCCAGCCTCCAGCTCCTGTGCTGTGGAATAGAGCCCTGAACACCTGTTAAGTCCCTAGTCTGTAAAACTCTTCATTCCCTTAATTGTCATCCATCGTTCATCCTCTTAGTGTCACAATGCCAGCTGAGGCCAGTAGATCAAGGGTGTGTGTGTGTGTGGGTGTGTGCGTGCGAGTGCGCACGCGTGCTTGTACGCACTCTCGAGCATGCGTGTGTGTTGTAATAGAAAACTAATTTTCTATCAAACATAGATAGCCCACCAAGGACCAATATACCATACATTTCTCCCACCTAATAAAAATTTTACACAAAGGAATTAAAATATCTTATCTCCCCTGCCTGGTAAAACTTTGTTGGTGGGAAAGCCCTGCCATATTCCCAGAACCTGATTTCTGGGAGAGGCTCGCTCATTTTCCCTTCCATTCCTTCATGCCACTTTCCAATCAAAAGTAGACTATAAGGTCAAACCACAGACAGAGAGGAACCACCAAGTTCCCCGTACATTAGAGATGAAAGACAGAGGCCATTTTAGCCTTGGGTGCTTCCTAGCCCACTTTGGGTCACAGCCTACATATTTTTACAAAAGCAAATCCCTTGCCAGGTTACTTTGTTCTTGTGTCTCTTTGTGTGATACCAAGGTTAGTCTTTTTCAACAATGTCTAATTGTAGTTAGTGTTCTCGGTAGTTACATTTGCATTTATTTGTGAGTTGTTCCTACTCTATCCTATCCCTTCTTTGACCCCAGTACTTTTCAACTCAGCTGTGCCTCTCATGGAACAAAATACATTGACCTTACATGCAATGTTTGTCAGTTGAGTTTTGAACACTATTGAGCCATGCTCTTTAGAGTATTTCCATCACCCTGGAAGTCCTTCTAGATGCTTCCCAGTCAATACCGTTGACCCCAAGACTGCCTCTGGTCCCATTTCTTTTACCATGGATGAGATTTGCCTGCTGTGGACCTTCAAATTCAGGGAATCATGCAGAAGCTCATCTTTAATATTTGGATTTTTTTTTTGTTGATGTTCAGTATCTTTTCAGTCTGTACATTTTTTTTAAATGTATCAGGAATGTGCTCCCTACTATTGTTAAGTTGTTAAAATATCACACTTCGTCCATTTTTCCAGGTGATGGAAATGGAGGCTACTCCCAGTTCTGAGATCTTAACAATGCAATTGTTATAGTTTTGTACAAGCCCTTTTAGGCTTGTACCTTCTTTTCTCTCAGGCCAATATCCAGATGTGGACTCTCTAAGTTATGATGTAGGCACATGCTTAACTTTGTAAGATGCTATCAATGCTTTTCCCAGAGTGGTCCCACTATTTGATATTCCCCTGCTGTCACCCAGTCTGTTCCTTTCTCTGCATCTCTGTAGTTCTGAAGTTTATACTAAAGTATAGAAGCAACAAAACACCCTTCGCATAATGAAAACATGCATTATGGGTAAATTAAACAGGGCATTAGAAAGAACAAGATGACCCAGTGTTCATCAAACTTGATGTCAGCCAAGCTGCTCACAGGCCATTGTGCTTTGACTGTGTTTTGTGGTAGCTGATGTTAATTGACAACTTGACCGGATTCATCCATTCCTAGGACAAGTGGGGCATGGCTGAGGATTTGATGGGGTGCTTCATGGATAGGTGAGTAGGGGAGGCTGCCCTCAGTGTGGGTGGTATCTTCCAAAGGATGACTTGGATAAAAAGAAGTCTGAAGAGGAAGCAGCCAGCAGGAGCTGGGAAATGCTTCTTCCTGAGCCCCTGTGTCTGTCTTGCAGTGGGCCATCCTGTGCTGACTTCCTTGTCCTTCCAGCATAGACTCCAAGACTCTCCAGAGAATGTCTGGACTTAATGTGGTTTCCTATTGGGAGTGCTGATTAGGAACATCCTGTATTGGACAGACATTTTGCTCTCTATTATCTCCAGATGGCCATTGTTGGACCAACCAGCCCTTGCCTTATATGGCAATCTAATACATCCCCTTTTATACAAATATTCTGTTTCTGTTGTTCCAATTCATGTCTTCACACTGTTCCCTCTGCTGGAGCAGCCCTGTTACTCCTTGATATGTGAACCACATTGACCTGAGAACCTGTCTCTCATCTGCTGTGGACTTAGGGCTAATAGCACGGCACATAGGCTTCTCCTAGAATCAAAGATTTCTTTAATGGTGGTAAATGTCACTATACCTATGCCTCTGTCTTCCACACTGGACAGTGAGTTCCCTGATAGAATGGATTTGTTTTATCTTTGTATTGTGTTAGCATGATAGACACACAATCAATGAAGTTTGCTGAGTGAGTGAATACGTGCATTGTTTTTTTTTTTTTTAATTATTTTTTATGTTGTTCTGCCTGCACGGATGTCTGTGTACCATGTGCATGCAGTACCTATAGAGAACAGAATAGGATGTCAGATCCCCTAGAATTATAGATGGTTGTGGGCTGCCAGATGAGTGCTGGGAATTTAACCCAGATCCTCCAAGAACAGCCAATGCTCTCAACTACTGAGCCATCTTTCCAGCCACAATCCATGCATTCTGAATTCTGAATTATGGGCTTAAGAGAAACAACTTACAAATTTTATGTTGCTGGAAAAAATAGGGAGTCATAGCTTAAAAAATATGAGAAAACCAGATTTCAGATAATTTTATCACTCAAGTGGGAAGAGAGTAGGCAGATGACAGGGTTTTACCAGCAGATAACATATGCAGGAACTGTCAGCTTCCACGTTGTTGGAATCAAACTCAAGGAGTAAAATAATTCTGAACATAGATTGTCCACTAAAGGACACAGTCCACACTTCTTGAGTTAGAAACAAACTCAATCTGGGTTTAATCATCCTTATTGAAAATGCTCAAAATGTCCCAGATTTTCTTGGATTTGGGAATATGGACATCTACATGGTGAGGTCTCTAGGAGATTAGATCTGAGTCTGAACATCAAGTTTGCTTCTGTTTCCTATATACCTCGTAGACACAGGCCTGGGATAGCAGTGTGCAGCATTTCCCACATGCCTGTGTTGTAACTATGACAGTTGGTGTGAAGCCAGGTGTAGAACGTTTCACCTGTGGTCCCGTGGGTACTCACAGGGTTTCAAGTTTCACAGTAGAGATGTTTGTACCAAGCAGTGGTGACAGAGTTCATGGACACAGAGGCCCACCTCAGTGTCTCACTCCTCCTGCTGGCTCAGCTTTCTCCTCTCTCCTTCTTTAGCCTGCCTGATCATCAGCCCAACTTGGTGAAGGAAGACTAGCCCCTCCCCCCACCATTTCTCTCTGTCTCTCTTTGTCTCTGTCTCTTTGTCTCCCTCCTGTGTCTTTCTCTTTCTATCAACATACCAGTGCCCTGCTCTCTTAGTTCACAAAAGCTTACTACTTAAGATAATCTAATCCCATGACTTAAACTGATCGGATAATAAGTGGGTCTAGGACATCTCAGGTCTCTGTTGTGAAACCCAGCTGAGTCCTGCAGTGAAAGTGCTGCTGGGATGGTCAGAGCTGGCAGTTCTATCCCATCATCCCTGACACTAGATGATGACAGAGATTTGCTGCATAAAAACTTTAAAGGAACCTCCTGCTTGCCAGTGGCCCCCTAAGATCTGCACTGATGGATGAGGGCATTAAAGTAGAGTTGGGACAGAGTGGCTTCTCCAGCAACCCAGGGCATCATGATACAGCTAAAGCTCTGGGCCATGTGCTTTCTGGTGTCTGTCTCTAGTGCTTCCCTGGAGAACCAAGAAGAAACAGAAGCCTAACTTGTCCCAAAGGCACCTGGCTGATTGACTGTGAGCTCTAAGAGAGGTAATACTGACTGAATGGACAGATCTCACTGCCTGAGAAATTCATCTTTCCTGGGAAGAACAGAGGTCAAGTTAACAGCACTTAACCGAAGAATCTCTCCCTCCCCGAACCCCTCCCCCCAACCCCAGCTCATTCCTAGGGAGCAAGGCCAAGCCTCAGATTGCACACATACGAGTGGGAAACCAGATGTCTGGCCTGTGCAATGGCTTCATCTGGTATAGCAGGTCCCTGGTCCCTGGACAGATGTCAACACCTTCTGAAGGAGGCAGAGTTCCTCCTTCTGTGGGTCCATGGGATGTGGCTCTTTGTAAATGCAGAGAGTGGTTTTACACCATTTGCACCGAAACTGGTGAAGGCAGCCTGTGTCTTCAGGGACATGCACAGCAGGTTTCCAGAAGGCTCTCAGTTCCTACTAAAGTGACAGCCTGGCCTTCCAGGCATCTGTTGAGAGGAATAAGACTCCCAGGAGAAAACACACCCCTGCTTGCATAGGAGGCAAAGCAGGTGCTTAGCAGATTTCCCTGATGCCCAACATCCTGGCACTTGTTTCTCGTGTGTGTGTGTGTGTGTGTGTGTGTGTGTGTGTGTGTGTGAGAGTGTGTGTGTTCCAAGGCTAGAGCAATGGCTCAGGGAGTGAAACCACTTACTTTGTAAGCATAACAACCTGAATTTGAATTCCTATTGTCCACATAAAAAAAGCCACCCATGGTTTCAGGTGCCTATAATCCCTGCACCAAGAAGCAGAGATAAATGGCTCCCACAGAACATGATGGTCAGCCGAACCAGCCAAACGACAAGCTCTTGACCAGAGAGGAGGAGCGAATGAGAAATACATGATGCCTGTGGCCTCCTTCCAATTCTGTGTATGCACTCATACAGTAGGGCTTCAGTCTCGTTTCAAGTAGGAAATCTTGGTGGCAGGAGGGAGAGTCAGTTTTAGAGTTAATTCTTTGACAGGGAAATGGTGGAGGCTGAGATAGATGAGGATCAGTGATTAGTGATGGAAGGGTGAGGTGGAGGGGTCCCAATGAAGAGTAAGCAACTGGGAACCATCTGCAGCACACTGATCACAGACAAGGGAGAAGTTGGTGGCTCCACATTTCCCTGTGCACAGAGTTGGGTGTAGGAGGTATCTTTTAGGAATGTGAAAATATTAGAACTTCTTCCCATGTTTCTTTTACTTCCTCCTTGATGCTAGTGTGCTGTCTAGTGGACAAGGCACATGTGTGCCATAGAAATTCACCTTATGTGGATATTCACACCTATACTGGGTTGTGAGCTCTCTCTCTCTCTCTTACACACACACACATACACACACACACACACACACACACACACACATACACACACACCCAAGGCTACAACCAATGGCCTCCATAGGTCTACAGGGAATCTATAGGCACTATTAGGAGGTGTGGCCTTGCTGGAGGAGGTGTGGTCTTGTTGGAGAAAGTGTGTCACTGGGGGAAGACTTTGAGGTTTCAGAAGCTCAAGCCAGGCCCAGCGTATCTTCTGCTGCCTGCGAATCAAGATATAGAACCCTCAGATCCTCCTCCAGCACCATGTCTGCCTGCATGCTACCATGCTTCCTGCCATGATGATAATGGACTATACTTCTGAACTTAAAGCCAGTACCAATTAAATGTTTTCTTTTATAAGAGTATCTGTGGTCATGGTGTCTCTTCACAGCAATGGAACCCTAAGACAGTGGTCTTTGTCATTTTATCTGTTTGCTCTTTCGGGAGTTTTTTGGTTTGTTTTGTTCGTTATCCAATACCAGGGGTTAAAATGGGAACAGTGTATTAGGAACGGGAACAGCATATTAAGAAAGGCATTCACTGTGCTGGCGAATGTATGAAGTGGAAACTTGAGGCCTCTTACCTTTGTAAGAGACACTTTGCAGGTACTTCTGGACTTGGGAGGGACTGAACGAGTCTAAGATCATCAAGAAGTCCAGGCAAGCTTTCCCGTAGTCGCTCTCGTATGTGGTCTGCTTCTTTGTGCGCTCTTGGTTCCGCATGTAGCTGTGTAGCACAGAGGGCACTGCAGCACAGGGACACAGGGACAGCAGCAGGCTGTCAATAAGCCAAAATGCCCCTCCTTGCTTGAATACATCCCTCACACCCAAGCCCAGCCTGGAGCCCACTCAGCATCATTACGGGATGCTACCTAGTTGTACTACCAATGAGCAGGGGCTGTGCCAAGCTGCGGTGGTGATGCTGGGAGCTGGGAGTGGGAGGGATGGGAGACACAGCCATATGAGGCTGAATGTGATCACCATTTTCAGAAAATCAGCTCTTCATGAGTTCTGCCTTTTTCTTTCTTTTTTTAAGGTTTTATTTATTTATTATGTGTATAGTGTTCTCTCTGCGTATATACTTGCACCAGATCTTATTACAGATAGTTGTGAGTCACCATGTGGGTGGGGGGGAATTGAACTCAGGATCTCTGGAAGAGTGGCCAGTGCTCTTAACCTCTGAGCCATCGCTCCAGCCCATTAGTTCTGGTCTTAACACTGTGTGTAATGTTTACCACTTGCTTAATGATAAATGGACTTTGTAAAAATTTCATTTTCCCCCAGGACATCTCAGAGGGGCACATGAAGAGAACCATGCCAGTTATGTAAGAAGCCTTAGGATGAGTACTTTAGAAGTGTGACATTTACAGCAAGCATGTGCTGTCCATTCAGACTAGAAGAAGTCAGAGGGGCAGGCAACTCCCACCACTCATATTTGATATGAATTAATATTAGAATAATGTGGACTCTGAGATTTTTGGAGTTGTAATTTTCAATAATAAAGATATGTTTTAAAAATGATTTTTTTTTTACAAGTGTCCCAACTTCTGTAAAACACAAACAACATAAATACTGTCCTCAGGCTCAGGTGTCCCCATTTGAGGGAACAAATGTGAGGAGCAGGCTGAATCACAGATCTCAGCCTCCCCCAGGAGGAGAACACCAGGGTCTGAGGATGGCCCTAGCTAAGAAAGAACACCGAGGTTTTTCTACCCCATGGTTCTCAGGATTCTTCTACCCTGTGGTTTCCATAGGGAAGTAAATGTCTACTCATTAACCTCCTTGAGAAGAAGCAGAATCAGCAGGAACACAGTTAGGAAGGAATCTCCAGCTGTGAGAAGTTCAGGCATTGGAATATCAGACACTGAGGACTGCACCTTGGAGTGTAGAGCATTGCCCTGGATGTATAAGCTGGGACAGTGTCAGCCCTCATTGTTACCCCCTGAAATTTACACACTAGACTTGGAGTCAGTATTCCCCTCCCATCATGTAGGTCTGGGGTATTGAACTTAGGTCACCAGGCTTGGCTGCAAGCACCTTTACCTGCTGAGCCATCTCACCAACCCATCAGGTTACTTTTTTAATGAGTGGCTTAGAGGTTTTCCAGCAATGGAAATTTTAAAAACATGAAGATCATGAAGAACTCTCACTAGGTCAGGTTGAGAACTAAATCTGAAAATCCTATGAGTGCGTGTCCTAAGAAAAGGCTCAGTGACAAGTCGGAAGTGACTACTTCTAATCTGTCATTGTAGGGCATCTCCCGACTCCAACCACTGCTCCACCCAGGCACAGTGCCGTCAACTTAAGGCATAAGCTGGAAGTTTTCTGAGATTCATAGTCCTCTTGCCCTAAGGCTGGGAACTACAGAACCATGGACATTCTGCGTGGCCATGGTCAAAACTAGCTGCCAGGGCCTTCTGTGACAGGCTTGGAGCAAGGAACTGGTGATGTCAAGCCACAGCAGCAACTGCTGTTTCTAAAAACAAAACAAAACAAACAATAAAACAAAGCCAAAAAGCAACCACTGTGCAAACTTGTTTAGGGCTCAAAGGTGGGACCCAAAGATGGAGGAGTAGTGAGGGACGTCAGTCAGGAGCTAGGCAGAGTGGGCCAGAATAAGAGGTGGGAGATGCCCAATCGTAATGTATGTACAATTTCCAATGGTTCTGCACACTGGATGCCAGAACAGACCAAAAATCTCCGGTGTAGGGGCTGGAGAGACAGCTCAGTGGTTAACAGTGCTGGCTGCTCTTACAGATGACCCTGGTTCAGTTTCCAGCAGCAACACAGTGCCTCACAACCTTCTGTGACTCCAGAGAATCTGATGCCCTCTTCTGGTCTCCCCAGGAACACATGTGCTACTCAGTTAATAATAAAATTTTTCAAAAGTCATAGCCACAGTGTTGGCTTCCATGTGTCAGGCTGAGAGCACCGACAGGTTGTTGTGCACTTGTAATCCCCAAAGACCTACTTACCTAGACCCTGGGAAGCAACAGGCAGGCTTGAGTAGCATCCATATTTGAAACTAAAATCCTGCAATTCAGGAATCTTAGCTGGAATTTTGTAATGGTGCCGAAATTCAGTGTCCAGAGGTCGGGGAAGGAACTCTTTCCAGTCCATGGACATGGGAAACCTTTTCATGGTCTTCTTAGCTGGGGTGTGAAGGGAAGACGATGATTAGCCATTATGAACTGTTTCTGAGTGGCTTGTCACTGAGTTTTGCTTTGGCCAGTAGCTTCCAACTCACAGTTAAAAGTGACTCTTCTAGAGTTTAGAGGTATAGTCTGTGTACTCTGTGAGTACTTCAACCAAGGAACTGCTTCCATTCTCAGACATGGGGAGTATATGCCTGACTGACCACTGTAGTTCTTTTTGTTGTCGTTTGTTTTGTTTTTATTCTTTGCTCTTTTGGGGTCCTGCCACCCAGCTCCCAAACAAATACATGGAGTCTTATTCTTACTTATGAATGCCAGGCCTTAGCTTGGCTTGTTTCTAGCCAGATTTTCTTAGCTTAAATGATCACATCTAGCTTTTGCCTCTGGGCTATTACCTTTCTATACATTTCTTTACTCCTTACTCTGTGGCTTCTGTGTAGCTAGGTGGCCGGCCACTGGAGTCCTCCTCTCCTTCTTTCAATCCTAGATCTCTCTCCGCAGATTTCTCCTCCTATTTATTCTCTCTGCATGTTAGCCCCTCCTGTCCTTTCTCTGGCCTAGCTATTGGCCATTCAGCTCTTTATTAGATCATCAGGTGTTTTTAACAGGCAAAGTAATATAGCTTCGCCGAGTCAAATAAATGCAGCATAAAAGACATCTGTGACTCCAGTGCCAGGGGATCCTAAGCCCTTTTCCAGTCTCCCTAGGCACACATGTGCTATTTAGACACACATGCAGGTAAAACACCCATACACGTTAAAAAAAAAATTCCAGCTCCTACTTCTCGCACACCTTTGCATCATTAAACAAACCTTCCACAGCACAGGCAAATGTAATATATCTTCAACTAATATGCCACAGCAGACCATAGGTAGTTTTTAATGGCTAGACACTCAGCCTGCTGCTGGGAACAGAAACCAGCAGTGACCCTGCTGGGGTCTTCCTAGGTCTTTTCAAGGCAAACCAGAGGGACGGATTTGGTGATCACATCTTTTTTACATGCTGAAGGTCCTAGGTTCAAGCCTCGGTGGAACCGGGATGAAAAAAAAAATGTTACTAGACCAAGTATGAGTCCAGCCTGGTCTCTACAGTTAGTTATAAGCTAGCTGGGGTTACAAGTGAGATCTCGTCTCAAAATCAAAACTAAGTAAGGCTCTGCAGAAAGGTACAATCTAAAAGTAAATACAGAAGACCATTCAAAATCATTAGCAACAGAAATACATGAATTATAACAGCGGGAATTAATTTTGCAGTCTTCACTCACCAACTTCTCCAAGCCTGAAAGTCTCGGGACCAAGACAGGGCTGTGAGGAAGGTGAGGATCCCATAGAGTAAGAGACACAGGAGGGAGTCTTGATGGGAGTTCCCTGCACATGGCACAACTGTGATTGGCTTACTATGAACAGACTAGAAACACACGCCTTTCATAAAAAACACAGATCTGAATGCTCTTCTATGACCCTGATGTCTGTCTACACCAAGCATTGTCCTTCGATCTTCTACCCACCTAGTTCCAAAATAGTGTTTTTCATATATTCTATCATTCAGCAAGTATATCCCAAGCTCTTTCTAGCTACCAAGCCCTCTGCTGGCCATGAGTGAACAAAGGTCTCTGGAGAGGGGTCTTCAACCAAATATGCAAGATTAAAACAACAACACAACTCATGATAAGAAGGGCCGGGAAGACGTTGTTAAGAGTTCTTACTGTTCTTGCAGAAGACCCAAGTTCGTTCCTAGCACCATATCAAATGACTCACAACCACCTATAATGCCAGTTTCTGAGATCCAACATCTCTAGCCCCTAAGGACACCAAGGTCTTCAGCAGATGTAGCCCCTGTATCTGGGACCTATAGCCTCCAGCACCATGAACCAAACTTTGATTTGTAAATTACTCATTGTGCTAGCCAGTCATCATAACTGTGACCCAATCTCTAGTGACAACATTTTGCAGGAGAAAGGATTTATTTGGGGCAGGGTTTCAGAGATTTTGTTTATGGTCAAGCTGGCTCCATTGTTGCTGGGCCTTGGTGGAGAGGACATGGTGGAGACAAGATTCTCACCCCAAAGCAGCCAGGAAACAGAGATAAAGAAAGGTACAGACAAGATCTGCCTTTCCAAGGTTTGTTCCCATTGGCCCTACTTCCTCCAGAGAAGCCCTAAGTTTCAATTATCTCTCAAAATAGTGCCCCCTGCTGGGGACTGAGCCTTCAACACATGAGCTGCACAGATAGGCATATTCAACAATGCCTAGATAGCAGTATTCTACTACAGCAGAAAACATAGACATTCCCCCTTTTAAGAAAAGGAACTCACATAAAAAAATCACTTTATTGTACAAATTTGTAGATAAAATCATCACACAGAGGGATTGATGTAGCAACTCAAATGCTTGCCCAGTCTCAAGACATTTTCTTAGTTCATGGTTTATTCTCTGCAAAGCCAAGTCAAAGAGCCTGCGTACTTGGGACTTGGAAGAAGGTGCGTGGAATGATGGATTGGGAAAAAAGGGAGGCTACCAAAAGACTTCCACACCAGCCTGGAAGACCTCCGTCGCACCCTGTCCAGCCTCATTCGGGAATCCCAGCAGTCCAGTGCTTAACCCTCTATAAACACCCTCTTCAAAACACACCCAGTCACTCATCTAAATGAGCTGCCACTGAAAAGGCATCTCTGGGCACGGCTCTACATGGCCAATTCCTCATCAACCACTGGGACTGGGAAGGAGTGTCTGTTTTTCTTTTTTCCTTTGCCCATCCTGTCTTTCTTCTCTCGTCTTTCCCGCTTCCCTTCCCCTTTCTTTTTTTTCCTTGTTTTGTGTATTGCAACAGGGTCTTGTTACACATATCAAACTTACCTTGAATTCCAAGTCCTCTCTCTCCCTCTTGCTTCCAAAGGTGTCAGTACAGGCACTCACCACGATTCCTGGCTAATGGGAATCTTTTTAGGCCTCTAGACTCCACTGAGATAGATGTGCAGAGCAACACACTATTTATTTGCTTGTTTGCATTGCATGCTAAGGATCAAAATTGCTACCACTGAACCATGCTCCAGCCACTTACCGTTCTTACAAAGTACACCTGTCTATAATTGACTGGCTTTGTTCGTAAAATTTCTCGTGCCACACTAGCTTGGGAGTTCCTGTAAGAGAAAGACTACTTCTGTGTCACTTACCACCACTGTGGCAGTACCCAGACACATGCCCAGGGAAAGGAGGAACACCTGCTTACCTTGAGCCACATCCACGAAATCCCTCTTGGTGTGTGAAACAAACTGATTTGCTATTGCCTCCCGGACCTTTTCCATGGATGGAAGAACTACCGAAGGGAGGGGTTGGGTTGCTTTTCCTTTAGGGAGTGTCCACTGAAAGAAGTCCTGTCAACGAAACATGGTTTTAGTAAGAATCCACAAAGGCTCACTTCATGGAGTTGACAATACACATGAGTGTCTGTGTGTCCTTATTCTTTGGAACCCCTTATAACCAGTGACCACCCTGCAGCTGCCTGTACAGAGGGTGTGATGAAATGGCCTGGCAGTTACAAACTGTAACACAAGTGCTGATGTGGCTACCTTTCTTGCGGTGACAAATACCTGACAAAAGCAACTTGAGGAAGGGTGGATTTATTTAGGCCATGGTTTGAAGGTTGTAATTCATTGTGGTGGAGAATGCAAGGTGGCTAGAAGCTTAGCTTCCTCCCCGCCCCACCCCTTTTTGTTCAGTATAGGACCAGAGCCACCAGGGATGACAACACTCATATTCAGGGCGTGTCCCTCCTCTGTTAAATCTCTCTCCAAACTTCAAGACACACAGAGTGGGATGTCTCTGATGAAATTCCAGAGCCAGTCAAGTTAGCAATGAAGATTCAACCATCACAGATAACCTTTGTGTACTTGCTTGGACCTTTGTCGATGACAACAGAAGAAGACTGTCAGTTTCACATGTCGGGAGCAGAACTTTTGTGTGGACAATATGCATGTTAGTTCTGGTCCTGGTGACACATTTGTAAGGAGCAGAGATAGGGTCTGGTGTCCCTTGGAGAGTTAGGGAAAAGCCTTCCTCCCTATAGAGCCACAGCACAGTGTGGGGGATTTAAGGAGGGAGGCACTCTCTACTTTTCACCTCCAAAGAGATCCCGGGACTATACATGCTCACGTTGACTCTCTGTCTCTCCTCCCATTTTCCTCTCTTGACTACATCTCACAGTTAATCTTCATTGTCAGCTTGGTTGGATTTTAAACCATTAAAGAGATGGAAGCTCAGCTTCCTATGTGCCCATGAGGACAGTTCCAGAGAGAATTACCTGAGGGGTAAGATCCAACCTGAATATGCAGTACCATGCCATGGGCTGGAAGCTATTCCCACTCCTACTATTATGATGCTCTGCTCAAATACAGTCAGGAAACATGGGCTGAATCATGAAAGATTAAGCCAAATAAGTTACCCTTCTTTCCTTAGGTTGTCCCTGCCTGCTGCTTCATGACAGTGACCATGTTTTCCAGCTCCCTCAGAAAATGACACCACCAGCCAGGGATCTCTGGGATCCACCAAACCAGGCCCTAAGCATTGCATCCACACTTACAGCTGACCTGGTGGGGAATGGGTATGGTGGGAAAACTTTGAGGTATTCCCAGCAGGGTCCAAGGCCAGCACATTCCAACAGTTCTCACTTCTGTCTTGAAACTTCAGTTTCTCCCTTCCTGCTAGGTGGTTGCCATCATCCAAAAGAAGCCCTGTGTCCATCTCCCTTTCCCCTCTAGCTGGGAAAGTGCTTTTCAGAATTGCATCACAATTCTGTGAGGCAGTTGTGTGTGCCTGTGCTTTGCAGTACCCCTTCATTCCTCTGTAATTTATCTGTTTCAGAGAACAATTACAAACGTAAAGAATGTGTTGAAGATGCCATGGGCTGTACAGGTTTCCTGTCTGGATTTTGGTGATTGCATACTCATTGTGTCATTTAGCAAGTTGTCTATCCCCAGGACATAGACTGAACACGGGATCCTCAGAATATAGATTATCAGTGATGTTTGGGCTAGACAGAATGAGCCACATGATATATGCTGTTTTTCTCTGTGTAATGGTAGCAGCTGTTGAGACTCAGTGATTAATAGTGTCCACAGTCTGGCGCTAATATTCAATGGTTGAAAGCACAAAGGGCAGTCTGATGCACCAGCTCTCTTTGGCTGAAAGCACATACACTCTTGCTGGCTGGGAACACCCAGGAGTGCCATGAAAACACCCACTAAGGGTCTTTAATGGGGAGCTGAAGAGATGGCCTGGAGAGATGGCTCAGCAGTTAAGAGTACTGGCTGCTCATCCAGAGGACCCAGGTTCAATTCCCAGCACATACATGGCAGCTCACAAACATATGTAACTCCAGTTGCCAGGGATCTAATGCCTTCTTCTGGGTTCCATGGGCACCAGATACACCATGGTGCACAGATGTACATACAGGTAAAATACCTACACACACAAAAAATATTTGGAGTCTTTAGTAGCATAATAGATAAAGTGAGATTTTGTCTGTGTGTGTGTATACAGTTTCAATAAATATAACAAAGTATTATGCATTGCTTTTCATTGTTTAAGATTTATTTAGGCTAGGTAGGGTAGCACACATCTTTAATCCCAGCAACACTCAGCAGGTAAAGGCAGGCAGCCTCTGAGTTCAAGGCCAGCCTGGTCTATAGAATGAGTTCCAGGACAGCCAGGGCTACACAGGACCACACTGCTCGGAGAGGAGATGGAACTAGAGGAGGGAGCTTACTTATTTTTATTTCCTGTGTATGAGTGTTTGCCAATATGTATACATGTACACATCGGGAGCTTCAGAGGCCAGAGAAAGCATCCGGTCTCCTGGAACTGGAATCATTAATGGTTGTGAGCTGTCAGATGGATTCTGGAACTGAGGCTGGGCCCTCTGCAAGAGCATCAAGTGCTCTTAATGGCTGAGCCGACAAAAGCCAAGAGAAGTTGAATGAAATGTGGCACAGTGAATGTCTTTCTGACTTTTAAGTCTACGTCTCCATCTCATCTACCAGCTGGACAGATTTCCAACCAGTGTGTCATCCCGTCTCCTTCTATTCTTTCACCACCACCCAGAATTCTTCCAGCCCAGTCTGCAGCATCAGCATCACACATGCAAGTCAGAAATGTAGACATTGTCTTCCTCTCTTCCCTCTTAGTCATGAGCATCACCCTTTCTACCACCATGTCATCTAAAAGATGCCTCTAGGTGGCTCCAACCCAGCCAGCAGTCTGGGTAATGTGACCCTTCACTACAGAGCCTTTTGTAATGGGAGAAGGTGCCAAGAAAACTCAAGGGGAGGGTCAGTTACCTTTGCCCACTGGGGAAGGGAGGAGGATAGATCTTTGGATTGATTGTTGAAGAAATGGGGGGAGGCTCCCTTTGGACAGGAAATGGAATTCTAAGAAGAAGCAAGAACAATAAAGGGCAGAAAGGATTGAGTGTCCAAAACGTGATCCTAACCACAAGTACTCTTGTGCATATCTGTTCATACAACACTGTGTACAATAACCAAAAGGTTGGACCAGCCCAAAGACAGATCACTGGATAAATAGAAAAAAAAAAAACTATGGCATACACATGCAGTGTTATTCAGCTGTGGAAAGCACTAATGTTGCTATACCACGGGGAACCCCAGAAAGGGGTACTACGTTGAAATCAGACACAAAAATCACAATACATGATTTCTCATATAAAATATCCAGAATAGGTAAAAGTGGATGGAGGAGGGACTGGAGAGAGGGCTTGTGGTTAAAAGCACTTGTTCTTGCAGGGACCTGGGTTTAATTCCCAGCCCACACATGCAGGCTCACAACCATCTGTAACTCCACTTTCCAGGACATCTGATGTCCTCTTGTGACCTCTGCAGGTACCAGGCATGGACATGGCACACATGAAGGCAAAACACGCATAATATAAAATTAAACTTTTTAAAGAGCATATTGGTGGGTACCAGGGTAAACGAACAGGGAATGGAGAGTGATTGTTTAATGGGCATGGTGTACCCTTCAGGGATTAAAAAAAAAGGCTTTATAAGCTAGCCATGGTAGGCAAACAACAACATGAAGGTACTAAACACAGCTGAATTGTTCCCATTATAGTGGCTAAGTTTATATGACATGAAGGGACATGAATACCATTTCAATTGTTTTTTGTTTTGTTTTTGTTTTTTGTTTTTTTTGGGGGGGTTGCTACTGCTGTGGGAGGCCTCACCCTCCCTGAGGAATGAATGGGGGTGGAATGGAGGTGGGGGGTGGGGTGGAAGGGTAGGAGGGAGGGGGAACTGGGATAGGTTGTGAAATAAGATTTTTTTAATTTAAATAAAAATTAATTAAAAAAAGAAATAGGGGAACATGAGACTGTGAAGGCAGTGCAAGAAGGAACATGACTGTGGCCCCTGCAGATAGACAGACTGTCTTTGGAAGGCTCAAGACACTGTTAAATCCAACAGATGAGTAGCTGGTGTCTTACTTGACCGAGATGAGCCTTATGGGTCCTTAGTCCTCTTGAAGTCCCACTTTTTATCATATTTTCTTTAGCATATGTCTTCCAAGAATACTCGTAATTGTAATTTGTCTGGTTCAGAATAGGATCGCTAAGTGAGTAAGTATAGCCTAATCTTCTGATGCTCTTTGGACTACAAAAACAAGAAGCAGAGATTAGAGTAAGGGGCTGTCTTGGTGTCCTTTCCTGTTATGGTGACAAAATCCTCTGACAAAAACCCTGGGGAGGAAGGGTTTCTTCTGCCCCACAAGAGCACAGTCCACATGGCAAGGAGGTCAAGGTGGCAGGGCAGGGCCTTGAAGCAGCCAACCATATACAACCAACAGTCAGAGATCAAACAGCAAGGGATGCTCAGCTCCCTTCCTCCTCAAACACAGTCCAGGGTCACAGCCAGGGATGCTCAGCTCCCTTCCTCCTCAAACACAGTCCAGGGTCACAGCCAGGGATGCTCAGCTCCCTTCCTCCTTAAACACAGTCCATGGTCACAGCCAGGGATGCTCAGCTCCCTTCCTCCTCAAACACAGTCCAGGGTCACAGCCAGGGATGCTCAGTCCCCTTCTTCCACAAACAAAGATCAGGGTCTCAGTTAGGGAATGGTGACACCTACAATGAGCAAACCTTCCCACCTCAATCAGTGCAATTAAAACTATCCCCTTAAGGACATTCCCCTAGACCTGTTTCCCAGGTGATGCTAGGTTTCATCACCATGACAACATCAAAGAGACTAAGTACCACATTCCCTAATGATACGAATGTCAAATTATTGTATGTGTTTTACAGTTTTTTTTTTTTTAAAGATTTGCTGGCTTAAGACTTGCCAGATATTATTTAATTTTCAGATTCCCTTAATAAATCAATTCTCTAAAAGGGAAAGAGATACGAATTGGGATATCGTTACTTTTTAAACAATTCTATTAATTTGTTTTATGTGTATGGGTGTTTTGCCTGTCTGTGTGTGCACATATGGCATCTGAGGAGACCCAACAGAGGGCACCAGATTCCCTAGAACCCGAGTTACAGATAGCTGTGAGCCAACATATGGGTGCTGGGAACTGAAGCCAGGTGCTCTGGAAGAGTAGCCAGTGCTATAACCACGGCACCATCTCTCCAGCCCTGGATATTCTTCTCCAATGTGCAAGTCCCCAGTGAAATGTGTGTTGCCAGTACTATAACTCACAGATCAAAAAGGGGTCACCAAATAATATCATCAAATATTACCACCACATGGCTCCCTCTCCATGTATCACCTCCACATGCTATTGTCATGAGATATTACCACCAGATACTGTGTGCTCCTAGACATTTATGCCAACACTAATAAGTATTATTTTTTGCCAGAATATAAAATAAGAATCAGCTGAATTTAGGTTATGGAATTACAGGAAATGCATGAAAGGGAGAAGAAGGCAGGCATTGGGACAACCCTGATCAGAGAGCTTCCAAGGAAGTCTTCTTGTCACTCAGGCTCCACGATTGCCCAGGGCTCATCTTCAGTGGCAGGTGTTTCTGTAGAGTAAAGGATGGTGCTGGGGCTGGGTACCACAAACTGAGCCAGATGCTGCAGATTCCCATGCAGAGGCAGCCTGACTGAATGACGTCTAGGTCCCTGTCTCCTAACAGCTACAAAACGTCCATCAGGCTTCAGAGGAGGCTTCTAAATGGCTCTCCCCCTCTCATTTTTAAAGATAAGCATATTTGGTTTTCAGCTTTAAAAAAAAATTCCCTGGGAAATGTCATTAGCTGGGGAGGAAGACGAGACTGAGAGCAGGAAGTTGCACAAGCTGCTGCTCACAGCTTTAAATATAACTGAGCTTTTCTGGGCCATCATACTTTTAAGATCACTGCATAAAACTGGTTCATAAGAATCATGTGCTATGTGATGTTTTTCAGGGGTTGTGTTCTCAGCAAGGTGTTTTAATCTTATTTTTAATAGAATCATAGTTTGACATATTCACTATAATGCAGTCTATTCTTGTGTTATAAATCAATGAAGTTGTTTCTGAGAGAGAGAGAGAGAGAGAGAGAGAGAGAGAGAGAGAGAGAGAGAGAGAGAGAGCCTGGTTGCAAACCAGACATCTTTCTGGGATCCCAGGCAAGAGCTGTTTTGCCTGGCTAGCTGACTTTTAAATGTAGTTATTTATTCTCAGAAGTTTAGCATGGTGTTCTATATAATAACATACTTAACTAGGGAATATCACCTATTTCTTTGTTTTAAGACAGGGTCCCATTATGTAGTCCTGGCCAGCCTGGAAACTCACTATGTAGACCAGGCTGGCTCTTGAACTCACATAGATTAAAGGTGTGTGACACCACGTCCAGCCCACATTGTTCTCCCTGATACTCCTCAGTTTATGGAAAACTTACATGTTTTCTTTCTTTATTTTCATTGTTTGAGTATATAGGTAATCATGTAGGAGTTAAATTGTTTTATGCTTCCCTTGTCTACTTTTAATAATCTTCCCTAAAAATGTATTCCATAATTTACTTTTCAATATTCTTCTTAATATTCCTTAAAATATATATTAACATTTATGTGAGTAATAAATGTAGGCAGATTTTATCTTGACAGGAAATAATATAGTTTTGCATCTTTAGCAATAAAAATGATTTTATCAAGTGCACAGAGATGCTGTGAACTGTACAAGCTAAAAATGTATTTAAAGTCTGTGATAGTTGAAAGCCTCTCTAAAAAATTCTACCAGGTTAGAGAACTGTGCTCAGTGGTCAGCGCACTGGCTGCTCCTGTAGAGGACCTGGCTTCAGTTCCCAGCAACAATGTGGCACTTACAACCATATGTAACTCCGGTCCCAGGGGATCCAAAGCCCTCTTTTGGCCTCCTCAAGCATCAGGCATGCACATGGTACACAGACATATACACAGGCAAAACATCCTTACACGTAAAATAAATTTAGAAAAATTTTAAATCTGCCAAACAAATCTGTTGAAATTCCCATTTCTGCTTTCCAAGTCTTGTCTTCAGTTAGATTAACATTTTATGTTACAAATGAGTGGATGAACAATAGGCATAATTTTGTCGCTGTTCAATTCGGTGGAACTGTTTATTTCTCAGACTTTTACAACAGGGACTAACTCGGTAAATGGATGACAGGCCATGTCATTTTCTTTCACTAGAATGGAATGGGTTTCCCACCAAGCCATCAACAGATCAGTCATTTACAGTCTCCTTGTGACTTCTGGCATCTAAATGACACCCTGGCACTGGGTCTCTCTCTTACAATCTGCTCTTTTATAGATGGAGATTTTCCTGGGCTCTTGTGCCTGCACACTAAAAGAAAACAAAAGTGGAAGGAGCCTGGTGCCAGGCGCCCTATCACCCCAAAAGCACAGGGGGCTGCACGCATAAACATTTACTTCATTAACAAGTAGTTCCTCTAAAATGACTTTTAATTTGTCAGTTGTTCACTTCATATATAATATATAAATCACTTCATAAGTAGTATATTTATTATTAACTTCATATATATTGCTTTAAGCAGTCATATGCTTAAAATGACTGTGATAACCCAATAACATTTAAAACTTATTTTCAATTAATATACTCAGTTACAGAAAGTATAATAGGGTGATCAATAAATTGCTTTCACAACCTACACGTCCTTCCACTGGAGAATGGATAATGAAAATGTGGTCCATACACACTAGGGGCTACTATTCAGCTGTAAAGAAAAGTGAAATAAGGAACTTTGCAGGTACATGGGTGCAGCCAGGAAAGATCATATTGGGTGAGGTAACTGATCCCAAGACAAACATTGTCTGTTCTCTCCCCGCCCCCCGTGGTTCCTAACTCCAAATCTTCATATACAAGTGTATGTCTCACTTCTCGTCAGAGAGACATCTGCAACAGACAGAGGCCATTACAGAAAACCACAGCCTATCAAAACGTAAAGAGCAAGTGACTGTGGTGCCCTATCCCAGCTGACGTCTTCACCCTGCACCTGAGGCTCAGGGATAACTGGCAGAGGGCATGGAAAGATTGTGCGAGCCAGAGGAACGGTGAGTTTGCCGTGACTTTGTGTCTCCTCGAAACACCAGTAAAGCTACCATCATGAAGCCTCACCAACATGGCTGCCTAAGCAAGAACTGAACGAGGATGACACCAATAGACATGCTAACATGGAAAAGAAATCTTACAGGACCTCAGCCCTACACAAAGCACCACACAACACACACAAAGCTAAGGGTCACTGAGGATGGGAGAAATAGTCTTGATTACCCATTGCCAAGTGGTCAGCTGTGAAATCAAGTGCATACAAGCAACATTATATGGACTAAGCAGGTCATATTTTATAATCACAAATATATATATATATATATATATAGATAGATAGATAGATACACACACACACACACACACACACACACACACACACACACACACACTGAACTAAGTAGGGGCCATGAATTGAGAGACATCAAGGTGCTACATGGAAAGGGTTGGGGGAGAAAAGGAAGAGGTGAAATAATTATATTTTAATTTGAAAAAGAGAAATAAACATGTCACAATAGGAGCATTTGTGGTTGGAGTAAAGCACCCTTGAGTGGTGAAGAATAGAGAATGGATTTGAGGCTAAACTGAGCCAGCCTGAGCTACATTGTAAGGCTGTTTCAAAAATCAAGGGGGTGGTGAGAGACATGGTTCAGCAGTTAAAAGTGCTTGCTACCCTATTAAAGACCTGGCTTTGGTTCCCAGCACACACATGGTGGCTCACAACTGTCAAACTCCAGTTCCACAGGATCTAATGTCCTCTTCTGGCCTCTGTGAGTACTGCATGAATGTGGTACTTAATTGAAGTTTTTAAATCAAAAATAAATAAATGAACATAAGAGCTGGGGTTGTAGCTCAGGTGTAGATTTTCTTGTTAGCATGTGTATGGCATGAAATAAATTATAAAAAAAAAAGGAGTGAGTTCCAGAACAGACTCCAAATAGAAAAACCCTGTTTAAAAAAAAATCAACAACAAACAAACAAACAAACAAAAGAGGTCATTTTTCAAAAGTCATGTCATATGCAATTGTGGCCAAGGCAATGAACTAGGAAAGGACCCCAATTAATATTAATATGCTAAGGCATTTAAAGTACCCACTGAGGATGATTAAAAGCTTATTTTAAAAATGTTAATATTTAGATTGGGCTGGAAGTACCATCCATTGCAGCTATGAAAACTTAAAAATATGTGAATTTGAAAATCACTGAATACCTCTAGTTTTGGCTTTCATTCCAAATGCTCCATCTTTGGACAACTGTCAGAGCCCAAGGACCTGGCATACTCCTTGGGAGAGGACAGTGGTATCTGTCCCAGCTCAGTGGGACATCCAGCAACTAAGCCCTTAGGAGCCCTTGAGCTGCTGTATTCTACCAAACATTTTATTCACCTACAAATGAAAAGGAGTAACAACTTTGGATTAAGTGCTCGGTCAGTGGCTTGAGAGCTCAGAAGACACTCCTTCTGTCTCTGAACAAGGATCATCATACCCTTTGTACCAGCAGGTAAACTGAGGCACAGGTGGTGTGATGCAGAGATAACAAGGACTGACTGCACAGAAGCTTGCTTATAATCCACCTGATTTCTCAGGATCAACTCTGAAAAGCAAAGATTCTCATTCATGGAATCAGTTTACAGAGTGAGCACATGCCATGGAGAATCTCTCTTCTGGTCTCAAACCCATCAATCATGCAATAAAAGACAGGACCACCCCCTCCCTGCTCATTCACTGTGGTGGTTAGAATGAGAAGTGTCCTCCATAAGTTCGGGTATTTGGACACTCAGTGGCAGTTTGGGGAGGTTATGGACCCTTTAGGTGGTGCATGTTTGCTGGAGGAGAACATTTTGGTGGGTAGGTGGCCTCGTAGCTTAGCCCACTTCCAGACTGCTCTCTCTGCTTTATGGTTGAAGATGAGATCTCTCTGCTTCCTGTTTCAGCTGCCTGCTGTTACACCTTCCAACAATCTGGAACCTTAAGTCTAAACTTCTATCATAGCCACAGAAAAATAACTGATACACTCCACCACCACTGAGCTCAGAAGCTCATTGGGAGAATAGAAGTAGAGGACAGATGTCCGAGCTTCCAGGACATAATGGGTGATGATGGTGATAAGGGGATAAATATCCTTTCATGCACATGTCTGTCCACTCAACAGTCACAGCATTGCCTGCCTGCCTGCTATATTCTATGGGAGGTACTCAAGTCATTTATAATGTCTATTAACACAGGTCTACATCAACCCACAGTGCTCAGCGACATTGGGAAGAACACGTGGGGAATTTTTCTGATTTCCTTATACAAAGTCTGGAAAGGTATGTTCTCAAGATACTGAGAGGACCACAGAGTGGATGGTGGACCCTACTCTACTAGTATCTCCAGATGCTAATTTCTACTTGTTTTTTATTCTAGTTACTAAAAGACAAAGTCAATTTGCATTGGGTCTGTGGACGTGACATGAGCAAATACCTACCGTATTAAATCAGGCACCACTCCTGTTTTAGGTGTGAATGCTGTCTTCATTGTGGTAGCATAGGAATCCCAGTTGGTGTCACCTGCTAAAAGGACACCAGGGTGATTTAAAATGTGGCAAAGCAGAATATCCTGACCACATGTTGTTTCCATGATTAAAATAAGATCATAAAAGAAAAACCTGTATAGTAATTTCATCTTAGGGTCCAATGAACCATAATGGTCAATTTATGGGCTCAGTAGGAAAGGGAAGGTGAATTCACCGTTGGGTTTATGGTGACATTAAAACAGACACATTGCTTTTTCTGAGCCTTCATTGATGCTATTTTTTACCCTATGTGAACAAACATGTGAATGTATGTCGCATGAGATGGTGACTGAAGAGGCCAGAAGAGGGCATCAAATGATTCCGAGCTGCCTGCCTGATATGGAACTGAACTCCAGTCCTCTGCAAGAGCTGTCAGTGCTCATAACCACTGAGTCGGCTGTCCAGCCCCACATGCATGCTATTTTAACAATGCTAAGGCTTTTGTTCCAAAGCACAGAGAAATTTGATTTGAGTTCTACCTTCAACTGGACCCTATTACATTTTAGTGACCAGCTGGCGTCATGTTAGGAAACACATCACACGTTGGCATCCTGGATGCCTCTCCTTGCTCTTTAACTCATGTCCACTGTCACCTTCCTCTATAGTCTTCCTCCCCCGCCCTCCCCAGTCCTACCTATTTTATTCTACATCTGTACGAGGCAGAATAAAAAGAAAATTAAGAGAGAATGGGGATTTTTTTCTGCAGAGAACAGACATGCCTTCCCAAAGGTACCTCAAACAAGGATGGTAAAGACAACAAATGCTTAGGGCCAGAAGTTTACCATATTAGAACCCCACATTCACCCCTAAATCTGTACACACAAAACCACCTTAAACATAAGAAAAAATCTCCCTTACAGTTTCAACCACACTGGGAATTCTTGATGCAAGAAACAAGTAAGCTTGATGCTTGCTTACATATCTTTACTTAATTTTAAATTTAATTTAACTTTTTTCTTTTTGAGACAGGATTTCCCTGTGTAGCTTTGGAGCCTGTCCTGGAACTAGCTCTTATAGATGAAGCTGATCTCAAACTCACAGAGATCTGTCTGCCTCTGCCTCCCAAGTGCTGGGATTAAAGGAGTGCACCATCACCACTCCAATTAAATTTTATTTAAATTTGAAGCTTTGCTTAACTGTTAAACTTTATTGTAAGATACCCCTTGCTATGCTGTAACTTAGAAAGCTGAGGATCATATTAATAACTCACTGTAAAGACAGTGTAGCTGGCTGTTCCCTGGGGAAGCCCATACCCAAACTTGAATATGTCTGATTCTTTCTCTGAGTGTCTCCTTGATGCTTAAGGTCCCTGCTAGAAGTGTCTGTAATAAATACCAACTCTTCTTTGCATTCTTGCTCACTGAAATTCTTTCTGCAATGAAGTCCCTAGGATCCAGCTTGAAGGTGACTCCTTGAGTGCTCTAGGTAGCAGCATGGAGATATGTCTCTACCTCCCCTGGCATGTACCCGCGGACATGTAATCATATTCTGACATACACACATATGTGTAAATATAGACATAATGAGTGTGGTGGTTTGAATCAGAATGCCCCCATAGACCCATCCCATACATGTGAATGCTTAGTCACCAGTTGGTGGTGTTCCAGGATTAGGGGGTGTGGCCTTGTTGGAGAAGGTGTGTCAACAGCAGGTTGACTTAGAGGTTTTAAAAACCCGCACCAGACCACATGTCTTTCTCTACATCATCAGACCAGCCCCCTACATCATCAGACCAGCTCCCTACATCATCAGACAGACCAGCTCCCTACATCATTGGACCAGCCCCCTACATCATCAGACCAGCTCCCTACATCATCAGACCAGCTCCCTACATCATCAGACAGACCAGCTCCCTACATCATCGGACCAGTCCCCGACATCATCAGACCAGCTCCCTACATCATCAGACAGACCAGGCCCCTACATCATCAGATCAGCTCCCTACATCATCAGACCAGCTCCCTACATCATCAGACAGACCAGCTCCCTACATCATTGGACCAGCCCCCTACATCATCAGACCAGCTCCCTACATCATCAGTCCAGCCCCCTACATCATCAGACCAGCTCCCTACTTCATCGGACCAGCCCCCTACAACATCAGACCAGCTCCCTACATCATCAGACAGACCAGCTCCCTACATCATCAGACCAGCCCCCTACAACATCAGACCAGCTCCCTACGTCATCAGACAGACCAGCTCCCTACATCATCAGTCCAGCCCCCTACATCATCAGATCAGCTCCCTACATCATCGGACCAGCCCCCTACATCATCAGACCAGCTCCCTACATCATCAGACAGACCAGCTCCCTACATCATCAGACAGACCAGCTCCCTACATCATCAGACCAGCTCCTTACATCATCAGACCAGCTCCCTACATCATCAGACAGACCAGCTCCCTACATCATCAGACCAGCTCCTTACATCATCAGACCAGCCCCCTACATCATCAGACCACCTCCCTACATCATCAGACAGACCAGCTCCCTACATCATTGGACCAGCCCCCTACATCATCAGACCAGCTCCCTACATCATCAGACAGACCAGGCCCCTACATCATCAGACCAGCAACCTACATCATCAGACCAGCTCCCTACATCATCAGACCAGCCCCCTACATCATCAGATCAGCTCCCTACATCATCAGTCCAGCCCCCTACATCATCAGACCAGCTCCCTACTTCATCAGACCAGCTCCCTACGTCATCAGACAGACCAGCTCCCTACATCATTGGACCAGCCCCCTACATCATCAGACCAGCTCCCTATATCATCAGACAGACCAGCTCCCTACATCATCGGACCAGCCCCCTACGTCATCAGACCAGCTCCCTACTTCATTGGACCAGCCCCCTACATCATCAGACCAGCTCCCTACATCATCAGACAGACCAGCCCCCTACATCATCAGACCAGCCCCCTACATCATCAAACCATCCCTCTACATCATCAGACCAGCTCCCTACATAATCAGTCCAGCTCCCTACATCATCAGACAGACCAGCTCCCTACATCATCAGACCAGCTCCCTACATCATTGGACCAGCCCCCTACATCATCAGACCAGCTCCCTACATCATCAGTCCAGCCCCCTACATCATCAGACCAGCTCCCTACATCATCAGACCAGCTCCCTACATCATCAGACAGACCAGCTCCCTACATCATCAGACCAGCCCCCTACATCATCAGACCAGCTCCCTATATCATCGGACCAGCCCCCTACATCATCAGACCAGCTCCCTACATCATCAGTCCAGCCCCCTACATCATCAGACCAGCTCCCTACTTCATCGGACCAGCCCCCTACATCATCAGTCCAGCTCCATACATCATCAGACAGACCAGCTCCCTACATCATCAGACCAGCCCCCTACAACATCAGACCAGCTCCCTACGTCATCAGACAGACCAGCTCCCTACATCATCAGACCAGCCCCCTACATCATCAGACCAGCTCCCTACGTCATCAGTCCAGCCCCCTACATCATCAGATCAGCTCCCTACATCATCGGACCAGCCCCCTACATCATCAGACCAGCTCCCTACATCATCGGCCCAGCCCCCTACATCATCAGACCAGCTCCCTACATCATCAGTCCAGCCCCCTACATCATCAGTCCAGCTCCATACATCATCAGACAGACCAGCTCCCTACATCATCAGACCAGCCCCCTACATCATCAGACAGACCAGCTCCCTACATCATCAGACCAGCTCCTTACATCATCAGACCAGCCCCCTACATCATCACACCAGCTCCCTGCATCATCAGACCAGCCCCCTACATCATCAGACCAGCTCCCTACTTCATCGGACCAGCCCCCTACATCATCAGTCCAGCTCCATACATCATCAGACAGACCAGCTCCCTACATCATCAGACCAGCCCCCTACAACATCAGACCAGCTCCCTACGTCATCAGACAGACCAGCTCCCTACATCATCAGACCAGCCCCCTACATCATCAGACCAGCTCCCTACGTCATCAGTCCAGCCCCCTACATCATCAGATCAGCTCCCTACATCATCGGACCAGCCCCCTACATCATCAGACCAGCTCCCTACATCATCGGCCCAGCCCCCTACATCATCAGACCAGCTCCCTACATCATCAGTCCAGCCCCCTACATCATCAGTCCAGCTCCATACATCATCAGACAGACCAGCTCCCTACATCATCAGACCAGCCCCCTACATCATCAGACAGACCAGCTCCCTACATCATCAGACCAGCTCCTTACATCATCAGACCAGCCCCCTACATCATCACACCAGCTCCCTGCATCATCAGACCAGCCCCCTACATCATCAGACCAGCTCCCTACATCATCAGACCAGCTCCCTACATCATCAGACCAGCCCCCTACATCATCAGACTAGCTCCCTACATCATCGGACCAGCCCCCTATATCATCAAACCAGCCCCCTACATCATCAGATCAGCTCCCTACATCATCAGACCAGCTCCCTATATCATCAGACCAGCTCCTTACATCACCAGACCAGCCCTCTACATCATCGGACCAGCCCCCTACATCATCAGACCAGCTCCCTACATCATCAGTCCAGCTCCATACATCATCAGTCCAGCTCCCTACATCATCAGTCCAGCTCCCTACATCATCAGACAGACCAGCTCCCTACATCATCAGACCAGCTCCTTACATCACCAGACCAGCCCTCTACATCATCAGTTCAGCTCCCTACATCATCAGACCAGCTCCCTACATCATCAGACAGACCAGCTCCCTACATCATCGGACCAGCCCTCTACATCATCAGTCCAGCTCCCTACATCATCAGTCCAGCTCCCTACATCATCAGTCCAGCTCCCTACATCATCAGTCCAGCTCCATACATCATCAGTCCAGCTCCCTACATCATCAGTCCAGCTCCCTACATCATCAGACAGACCAGCTCCCTACATCATCAGACCAGCTCCTTACATCACCAGACCAGCCCTCTACATCATCAGACCAGCCCC